ATTTGGTACACAAAGAACTATTATGACACAATCCCTATACAAAAATGGATCACCTTACCATGACGTAAAATAATTGATTTGTCGCATCCACGGGTATCCAAGTATACTTACTCCATGTATGTAGACTAATTTTTTGTATTTTAGAGTTATGAATGTTGTATTTTTTTTAAATATGAATATTTAACTTCAAATTACAAATGTGAAAAAATATTACAACTGTCATAGGTGAATTCGTGTACCTGAAGTACCTACACTCTTCAGCGAATCCAAAGCGAATACTTTTTACAGATAACAAGGATTCTTTTCTTGAGTTCTCGTCTTGATAACAGGCTTTTGAATTTCTGACACTGCATCAATAAACAAACAATTTTGCTCACGAAGAGCGCTGTTAATGATGCATGCGAATAGTGAATAATAGACAGAGTATCCACATCCTATTATATTCTACGGACAATATCTTGCAATACTATCGTAATTTACCATTGTTGGATTGCTGCAATAACAATATAACTTACATTTTTAGAGTTTTGAGGAAAAGCAGTTTGGAAATTTGAAATTGAGTTAAAAATCAATAAAAACTCTAAACTCTGTATTGCACAAAAACTCTAATAAAATAGTTATTCAAAACATTAAGTAGTATTTACATAAAAGAAAATCTTAGAAACCTAAGGAATCATATAAAAAAAGATAAAAAACATCACTTATCTTATTCTTGCTGTCTACATTCATGTAGACACTCAAAGTTTATATCATTGCGTTCATAACTGTTTCGGAAACAGGTAGGTCCCCGTAATACTAGTGTTTCAAGACTATAAAATCATTATATTCAAGTTCCTCTAGTGTATAAAGTGTTTTCTTTGATCTGCACGTTCTTGCCGTTCGAAAAATAGTGAGCCAATCATACATGGTGTAATAATAATAATAATTAATGGTCTTTATTTTATCTTGGCGGAACTTACGCTATTCAACAACTCAACCACCAACACGGGAACTTACTTCCATGTATGTATGGCCAGGATCGAGATAGTTTTGTTCATTTGTGTATCAGGATATGTTCAAACGACATATAATTACAATGCGCCTACGTAATTATTTCTGTTCTGGCCACCGCATGTATCGGAGATAAATGATAGTTTCGTCGTATAATCAGGATCAGGAAGCCTGAGAAAGCAAGTTTCGATTTTCATACTTCCCCGTTTACCGTTCAATTATGTCCATGCAAGACAATACGCATTATTTGGTGGTGCTGTCAGATTGTAGTTACAAATTTTTCGACCGTAATATATAAGGCTCCCTTTGCTACTGCACGTTCTTTCTGTTTCATTTTACCGAGAGAGCAAGCTTCTTTTCGAGGAATATGACGGTAAAATTTATCTTTTACCTCGTCCTTTTTTCTTACATCGGCACTGTTATATTGGGAATACATTTGGCATTGATCTTCTTTCAATTTGAAACAGAATAGTAATTGTAATTGAAAATTTGGTAATTGAAAATTTGGCAGTTGGTAATTTGGAGTACAAATATTTGCGTTTTGTAGACTTTGCAATATAATAAGAGTCTGTGTCAGGAAAGGTGTCAGTATATTCTTTACCTTTTTCAATATCCAGAACATTCGTTTCATTGTGCGGTTCCTTTTTACCCCGACTGTCTTTGCCAGTAAACATTCCAGCCTCACCTTTAAATTTAAAGGCATGTTCAATGACCTCTTTGCTGATCGCTAGTGTTTCAATAAAAAAAATTACAGACTCTGGTTCTACTTTCATTAGAATCCTGGAAATAACATTTAGAATCTAATCGTGGTTTTCTGCCGCTGTCAGCTGTTAGTCTTCGTCTCTTTAGAACACAGCTTTCCACTTTATGTAAAATTGAATCCTTCCGAAGGTCAAAGTAACATTTTCAATACTTCTGTTCTCTTCAGATATCTTCGTTACACTTAAAGCGACATTTTGAGCAGTCAACAGGGGCACAAGAGTTCTAGCATACTCATCATCTTCCACTTACTAGGGTCACTTTTTTCCATCCATAACCGGATTATAATCACTGTCCTTCACCGAACAGTCAGAATCTTAATCAGCCCATCTATTTCGTGAACTTTGCGTTCGTCATCGGAATTCAATTCTGTCGACACCGTATCCCAATCAACATGTTTATCAAGATGGACTTTATCGATTTGTACCAAAACTCGGTTCTGTTAAGTAGCATCTTTGAGAAAAAAAGAGTTCAGTTCTATTTTTGTTACCACTTCCATGTAAAAAAGTCACCATTTGCATAATTACAATATATTACTATTTTAAACATAATAACATCATATAAGACATTTTCGTTTAATAATACGTACTGAAACTCCCTTCTTGTACACAATGAAAATATAATTTCTCCGGTATACGCTTTTTTGTATTTTTTCTCTTACTGACTAGTTTATCCCTAACTCTCACATGTGTTAACTTCTACGGGTTGCCGTTCGTAAGGGGGAGACAGCTGATTAACGAAAAAACAGTTCTAAGGAGAATTCAAGTAATGCTTTATTTTCGACGCACATTTCATCAACCAAGTTGGCATCTTCTGAAGATAAATTGGTCTCTATTCATATCTGACAAGGTACACTTTCACTTTCCGTCTCACAACAATGAAATTTGCGAGAACTTTCACGAGATTATTTCAGGCAAACTTCTATTCGAAATCATTGTTGTGTGTTGGAATGTGAAATTATACCCAGTTTGATATGAAAGAGACCAATTTTAGAGTTGGAAATTAGTCTTCTTCTCCTCCTGAAGACGCCATCCTGGTTAGTGAAACGAGCTTCGATAATAGTATTGCAGTTCTGGTGTTTGGGAAAGGTGCTTATTTTGGATTTATTCTTCGTTAGTTTTACCTTTCATCAAAAGCTAGTTAGTTTAGTGAAAATCTTACATTAAAAGTTTACTTCAATACGTTATGGATTTTCATCAAGTGTTGGTTAATTCAATCAAAGATCTAAACAGATTTTTTCCATACAGATACAAGAGATTTGAACTAACTTTCATAATCATCACAGTTGATTTTCCTTAACTTCCATTCGTGTGAGTTGTTTTTGTTCATTTCGAATATTCCTTATTTGTTCCGTTTGAGTTTTCAAATACCGTCGTCAACTTGAGCCTGTTATATTCGTCAGTTCTGTTGTTTAGAATAATGACGTTTTGTCAACTCTCGCGCATACTTCTTATGGCTTTTCCCTATTCCATGTCTCTGTGATCCACCCTTCGTTTCGTTCACGTCGGAATTTCATAAAGTTTGGAGAATCGTATTACGAAGCTTCAACCCCGAATACTTTCTCGTAATTTACTTCACCTAAAACTCACCATCTTTCGGTTTAATTAGATTTATTCCACTGTAAATATTCAATATTTCGACTTTTGGCAGACAATGGAATTATTCAAATTCTGAGAATGTCTGCAATTCGATAGCTGGTTATTTCACCTCTGTGGATACTTGAAGCAAAATTAATTCTGGAAATGGTATCTGATATTATTACATTCACGAACGTTTTCTGAACTGTCACAAAACCGTTATCCCATACTGGTTTATTTGTCTTTTATAAGTTACTTAAATTATCCGAAGATATACACAGGTACTTCTTTTTGATTTGATGATCAAATTATGGCCCTCAAAAATTATTTTTCCGTATAATCAATAAATAATAATTTAGGATGGATTTTAATTTGTCGCTTGGGTGTAAAAATTCGTCTCCCTGAAGATCTTTGGTTACTGGTCTCAGGCATTTCTCATATTTCGTTTTAGTTGTGGAAATCTTCAGTTATGATTTTTTTATTGATATTCAGTCAATTTGTGGCATATGATGGCGGGTTTATTATACCAATTTTTTTAAAGCTTTCGATAAGGTCAACATATATATTTCCATAATTTACAACATAGAATTCGCTTATTGGAGAAATAATATACTCTACAAAAACTGAGCAAATTAAAAAAAAATCTAAGTATTTAATTACTACAATTTCATAACGTATTCCATTAGAACATATAGTTTTATAAATTACAACTTCATGAAGCACATCATCATAATAGTACCAAAACAAGTATAATTTGATGTATTTTTGTTGTTTCTAAGTGTCTCTATACCAAACACTCTTGAATATTTGGGGTATCTTCTGAGGATCAATAATCTCAGTGGGGAAGTGATCGAAAAGGCGACATACAAATAACAAAAATAAACATAAAACATAATTGCTTCCAGTTCAACAACTGTTTCTACAGAAAGCATGAAGGCACGGCAATGCGAAACCCGCTCTTCACCTCCATAACTAATCTGTTCATGAGCAGATTTGAATTGGAAACAAAACATGAATCAGATTACTTTCCACGGACTTGTATCCGATCTACTTGCGATTTGATATAAACAAAAGGAGTTACCGTTCTTGGATGTCTTAATGATAAGAAGTAGGTAGGTAGGTCTGAAGTGAGTGGGTCTATACGACCCTCCACCGCAACCCATAAGGGTGTATTGTGGCTCACACCTATTCACACTCGGCCAAATAAACCCAGCTTCTTAACGAAGCCGATAAGTTTGTATGGTGAGTGGTCTTCCAGGTCAGATGGTGAGAGTACGGATCTGCCGAACTCAACCTGATTCGGTCCCCAACGGGGCAGGCACAAAGTATATGCTCTGCAGTTTCATCATTTTCCAGACGTAGGCGACACACACTGTTTGGAATCAAGCTTCGAAGGGTGAATAAACGCCTTGGAGTGAGCCAATCTCTTCTTTCCATCTAGCCCAAAGCGATGCCAATGACATGTTCTGGTCCAATGAAGCCGCTTGCAGCACTCTCCTTTGCAAGAGAGTCAGTCATTGCCTTCCAGGCCAGTATGGCCAGGAATCCAGACCAGTGACAGATAAGAAGTAACCAGAGTCTAGAATTTGTTGTCTACCGGAAGAATACTAGTACTTTCACATATATTCTTGATAGCTCATACCATTGTACACAACACAAAATGCAGGTCTAAACTTACTTGTCCATGGTGTCGTTGCGTTTGCCCTGGGTAAAGAAAGGTACTACATTGTGAAATATGTTTATTAGGAAACGTAAATTTAAGAAGAATTTTCGCGAATCTTCGACTTTTCGAAAAGAAATATATTTGATTTGTATTGTTCATCCGTATGAACTAAGATACATTAAAGGATAAGATTGTATTTTCAAAAAGTTGAACATGGAAGTAACCTTCAAAACTTCTTGCTCATTTCAACAAATGTAAGGTTACTCTAAATACAAGTTATTGGAGAATAAAAGGTCGTTGATACATGAAATAGGACTGTGACAAAAAATATATCGGGTCAGAATGAGCGAGCCATTAAAACTCGTTTCAAAGAACATGCAGCACAGCTGATTCCGAAGACAAGAAAACATGGTGATGCTCAACACGCTTTGAAGAACGGCCATAGAATGAATGAAAACTGTCTGAAATTGTTGAGATCGGTATATACTAGATATTTGGATGCTTGCAAAAGTCTGGAAAGAGCAAAGTGTGGCATTAAAACCATGAACAGTGACAAAAGTCTCATTCCAAACTGTCCATTGTATTCTTTTTTATGCATCACTCTTTAAAATTCACGAGAATTTTCACGAGATAATTTTCCGCACGTTTCTACCCGAAATCATTGATGTATATCGGAAAGTGAAAGAGTATCCTGTTAGATATGAATAGAGAATATTGAATTTCTGTTGATTGAAAAGAGAGCTTGGTTTGGATTCACTCTCATGCCAGAAGTTCCAGTTTCACCTTTCATCATAATAGTAAACAAACGAATCAATCAATAATAATCATATCAGTCTAGAACAAATCATCATTTCGTCAGAAAATCAAACCAACAAAAGTTTAACTGATAAAACGGAAATATCAGTGATAAGTTAAAATTCAGAAATGCCACACGAAAGGTTTTGGAACGATCAGAAACGCCGAATAATCAAGATATCATCAGCCAGAATGAGTGTAAAACAGTTTGTGTACAAAACTGAATGCCTACAAGACAGGCATGCTAATTTATCTTAACGCGACGTCATCAAATTTAATAACAAATGCCTGCCTGCCCTTTGTCTACTGAGAGACATGACATGAGTACCTATAGCAAGCGTAAATGGTTGGCGCATTTGAATTTCAGCCAAGTACCAGTGCATCTGATTTGGAAAGTATACTAAAGGCAATAGCACCAGATATAGATCTCTCAAGATCTCTTTCTCAATGACATTTGTGGACAAGGTATACATCCCGGCGATATGGCCAGATATATAGCTGGAATACACCTCCTCAAATTTAAGAAAAATTTTCAGAAAGCCAGCCCCCTATAAAATCGTAACAGCCTAAAGTATAGATCAATAATAAAATTATTAACCGTGAATGTTAAATCTCTGACGAATACATTATTAAATATAGAGATGATGGTTACCTAAATGTCGATTATATAACGAACTCTGTAGAAAAGCAGATGAATTAATTACCTGTTCTGGCTTAACAGTAATTCTTACAAGTCGCTAGACTACAACAACTAGAATCGCTTGCAACAAAAATGGTAAGATTTCAAAATCAAAAATTGATGACATATTCACCAACTGCATAAATTCAATAACCAAGGCTTATATAATGCAACCAAATATGGGTGGTCATCTGACAGCTGTATGTGATAAAAATTCAGGGTCAATTTATATTTCTGACAAGGTAAGTAGAAGCTGGGAATTCAAAACAGTTTCACCAGATTAGAATTCACACACAATTTTAATATGGGCTTTGATGAAGCCTATACATTCGGATATGATATTGATACCGAGATGGAACATTTTCTTATCAATTTCAATTTTGCAGTTTATTCAAATTGAATGCCAAAAGAGAGGCAGCAAAATAGATTTAAGTAAATGATTATGACAAATGGCAAAATTGAAGTAAAAACAAAATAAACTGAAAGAAATTATAAGTGGAGCAAAAAACTATAACTATGAAATCATAAAGAAAATTGAAAACAAACAGAAAACCCTCTGGCAAATTGTTAATGTAGAACTGGGAAAAAATAAACATTTCAAAAGGGTATCATTTGAAGTAGGAGACGAAAAATTGATCAGCCTAAAGAAATTGCGGACTATTTTGCTGCTCACTTTAGCACTGTAACACACAAGAAATTGAATGATAAATTCGGTAATGACAAGTCAGTAAAATATACCTACCTCAACTACTACTGTCGATCATAGCTACTACTTCACCTATGTAACTTTAGAAGAGGTTGGTAAGGTCATATCAGATTCAAAAAATGAAAGTGTTGGTGACAACAGCATAAGTGTAAAATTTTTGAATGCTGTTAAAGAATATATCTTTTTCGTTTCAGCTCATCTCATTGATCTGAATTATGAAACTTTTCCGCAATGTCTTAAAATAGGAAGAATAATACCCATACACAAAAAATCAGATCGCAGCAACTTAAATGTTGCTTCGAACAATTTTGAGCGCACGTCTTTCTTTTGCCCAATATGGTTTTCATGTGAGAATTTCGACCGAGGATGAGTGTGAGATTTCATGTGCCTTCGATAGTATACAAATAGATTTTATTTTACAAAAACTGTTCACAAATATATGTTAGAATTGAAAACGTTTGTTCTGAACATATGAAGAATGACACTGGGGTGTCTTAGGGGTCTGTACTGGGGCCACTTATGTTCATCATGAATATGAATATAAATGATATGCTCGATTTTTCAACAATAGGATCTGTCACGATGTTTGCAGACGACTCCTCAAGTGGTTACAGCGCAGACATCAGAGGCACTTCAAAATGCTATTCAGACATTATATGTTTATTTGAAAATTGGTGTAATAGAAATAAACTCATCTTAAATTTGAATATAATCGTATGTATCAATTTCAAATGCTAACAAATTTACAATAACATAAGTATTAATAATGTATCAACTTATCAATTAGCACCAATACAAAATTTTTAGGGGCCCACCTAGATCATCTAGTGATCAACTGCAGCATGTTTGCAAGAAATTAAGCTCTAGATTTTATGCAATTTTAAAACTGAAGTCTACGATGAATTAGATGGCTCTTATCGGCTCTGTATTGATTCCCTCCCATTTGCATTTCATGTTATTTCATGGGAGGATTGTGTGAATTCTGAAAAAGATTTCATGTCAAAAGCGAATTATCCGTCTCATTTTTTATATACTAAAGATATTCAATCAACTTATACAACATATCAAAAAACTGGAACTTAAAAAGTTCAAAAAAGAATTAAAGACATTTCTGTGTTCAAAAGCCTATTACTCCATTAATGAATTCTTGAATGATGACTTTTGATTTACTCTTTATCTGTGAGTCACACATGTTTGTCAGTTCTCTGGTACTATTAGCGTTTGTGACATTCTATTATATTTTGTTCAGTGGAACAGTATGTGACGTGTACATCTATCCTAATCATGGCTGCTTGATATGAAGAAAAAACAAACGACGAAAAAGTTGTATTTTCGGTGGCTCAATCTAAAAAATAAAAATTACAAAATAGTCAGTGGCGTTCTTTGTTTTCTCAATGTTGTTGGCTGTGGTGCCCACTGAGACGCCACTGGAACTAATAATTTCAATCTAGTTTGGGCTAAATAAGCGCCTTATAACTGTAGCAAATTTAAACCAAATCGGTGTAAGGATATTTATGATATTTTATAAATACCGTCCTGAATCTCAAAAACGAAGCGACTCCGGAGTATGTTATAGGAACTTTTTTTCAGAACGACCTAACGAATCTTTCTTTGAAGTACATAAAGTAAACTAAGTAAAGTAAGAAGAGTAAGTTTATTGACTACGTTACTTACTTATATATGTTTGTAGCAAGTCATTTACAATAAAAATGAGTCAAAAATATTGGACAACACGATAGTTTGAAACATCTAAAATAGTCTGCAGTCAGAAAAAATATCTACATAATATCAACGCAAAGCTTGACCAACCTACAAATGAAAAAAGAAGAAACGATAACACATAAACTATTTTTTTTTCTGATTAATTCGGCCGTTACTTGATGAAGATCCATAGTAATTTCAAAACCTACACCTCACGATTTGATCTCCACAAACTTCATTTGAAAAATATATCACATGTTTCGCTAGCACAATAGCTTTGTCAAGTGACTTGACATATTGAAAACATAAACTATTGTTAAAATTAGGTTGTGCGTGCGTGCTTGTGTGTGTACGGCTGCGTTCGTGCGTGTGTTAAAAGATCTTTCCTGAAAATGTTTCTGGTAGAAACTGCAAGTAATTCATGTCTTAAGATACTACGATCTGTGATTTTCCTGTGCAAAGACTCACAATGAAATAATCTCATCCACTTCGATTAACATCTTTAATCGTGATAATGTGGTCATCTTTAAACTTTCAAAATTATTTTACTAACGACTGCGTTATATTTTTTGAGAAGCACCTATGGAAAATGTTACTTTCTCAAAATTTCCCTCAGTGGATGGATGGAATGTAAATTCGCAGAATATTTTCCGTTGCATATATTATTTCAATCATGCCACTGAGTGGAAATAATTCATTTAGATTATTTCGAATAATATTTTTATTATAAGGGTTGAAATTCGACCTCTATCTCCCCATCAAATATGACCCTTGTTGTCACTGTATCTGTCTCAGTAATAATGTCTTATTCAACCCGATAATCACTTTGTACCAATCAAATTCCATGAGGGGAGATGTCCTCTAATAATGTGACATACAATTTGAAATCTACGCGAGTCTCCAACTGCGCTCCTCGCATAAATGGACTCGTAACGAGGCGATCAATTTTTGATTGCAGAACGCAGGGATTCGTTTGATTGGTGCATCCTTTGATATGAAATGTTAGATTTTTCCAGAAATATAGACTACGGCAAAATGAGTTATGCGAAGGCACTCATTTTTCATTATTAAAGGCTCGATGTATACGGTATTAAAGCATAAATTTTCTTTTCTTTTCATTCCTCGTTTGCTTTTTTAATACGGGATAACTACATGTTAGTATCTAATTTTCAAGTTTCGAATACATTTTATATATACACACATCTCTCCAAATGAATAGAAAAAAACAACGTTTAAAAATGTTCTGATAGGACGAAACTGTAGTAACGCTAGTACAAATACAAGTGGTAAAAAAAACATAGAAAGTTCTATTTCTCACCTTTCAACATTAGATAATCATTATATTGATTGTCTTTCGATTCTGTTCTTAACGGTTATTGAAGTGAAAGAAAATCATAACCAATGTCACACATTTCTAGCATCGTGAAAATTTTTGAAAACATCTTCAAAGTCAGAATATCTAGATTTGAAGAAGATAATACTCAATCTCCGATTATAAATGAATTTAGAGAGGCAAAATAAACGGATGATGAAATCCACCAACTTCCAACATACGTATGAACCTATCATTCTTACACATGGATTACAAGGAACGGTAATGAACCGTATCTGGTTCACAATGTGAAACTAGTTTTAGTTTAGTTTAGTTTTGCTGAAGGCAAAATTGTGAGTTTCGCAATTGATACCACTATTTTGTTAAACCAAGATCATGGAAAACCTTGAAATTAGAAGTATAAAATGATTTAGGTTCATAGAGAAATATAGTTCAGATATAATTCTCTGCCAATTCATTCAGAAAAAAAAACAAAAATTCAGACTCGAATGGAACTTTGGTGATCTCACCAAACTCTCTGATATCTAAAGCTCAATAAATTAAATGTTTAGGCATCGTAATTGATCAAAATTCAAATGGAACCTGCCAATAAACATGTAGTTCATATGGTGTATATTGTTCAATCGAAATATCAACCAAGCCTTCAATAAACAAAACGGACAGTGTGAACACTCGATTTCAAATTTTCATGTTCAATTTCTATCGGTACATAGAAAACTACTCTCGTTCCATTTAAAAATTTTGAAGGAGGTACTGGCACCCCAGTGGGTTTGAGAGATATCGTATTATGCCTCAAATTTTTATTTTTTTTTGTATTATGATTTTGACAAAAATAATTGGCAACAGACAAAATAGAATCTCCCTTTACTTTTGATGAGTACAAATGGATATTTATTATTTTGTAAAACTGTTTTCAAATCAATTCGATTTTTTTAATGTGAATTGAGTGTTTAGTAACTTTACTGTTTAGTACTTTTCATGATTGTCACACTTTTATTGCATGTTAAATAGTTATGTCCATATTATGCAACATTCAAGCTTTTTGATTTGATTATTTCAAGTCCTTTATTTTGCAGTTAATAATGTATAAACATTTTTTTTCTCTAGAATGAGCGTTGTGATATATTGTTAGGGATACTATAAATAAACTATTTTGAAATATTCTTGTTTCCATTTAGTTAACGACACATTAATACTTCTTTGAGTTTAACATCCCTCAATCAGGGGGGTTTGATCCAGTTCGTATCAGTTATAATAAACGGTAAATTACAAATCATCATAATAATTAACCTATCTCAAAATTACATAACCTATGTAATTTTGAGATAGGTTAATTATTGTATATCAATTTTGTCGAATATTGCTTTGAATAAATAGTGTTGAACGGTTTAATGTTTCGAACTGCGCTTCAAATGTGATTTCAAAGCTTGTAATTTACAGATTTTGTACATCTTCACTTTTTACTGTTATTCTCATCCTCGAAGTAGACACGAATAACCGAACTCGCAATAAATTCGCTTTTTTTTCGCAAAGGAACCGGAAACCTATAAAATTCAACTAACTGCATTAACAATGCTCCCGCTGATCAATATAGAAGCAATTCAATCCCCTGGAGGGTTGAAAAGGGCATCAATTTTCCCCTTTACTTGGGTTTTATTGCATCCGAAATATGATACCTATTCTTACGGTGAAATTCAGTGGGATATAGCGGTTATCGTGAATGCTTAGCGATAGAGGTAATAAATTCCATGAATTTTTGTCGAACGAGTTTCCTGTTAGTTTTTGGGTTTCTATAGTGAGCAGGAAAAAATAGTAATACATATATAATAAAAACGAAAATAATAATACAATCTTTCAGGAAAACCTGCAAGATGAATTTTTCAACTCTGAGGACGGAGGCAGATGTCAGCTTCCGAAACGTTATGATGCATATCTGTTCTCAATTTTTTAAATCTTTTTTTGGTAGGCAAAATGATAAATTAGACAAGTTACTGATATACAATGAAATTTCTTGTGAAAAATACTCTGGATTTACACAATAACTTATTGGGGTGAAATAAAAAGTTTTCCTCCTTTCAAACCTTCGTGAAGTGTTCCGTAACAATTTTTATTTTTCAGATTGTGAAAATTTTCAGAAAAGTCGATAAGGTGTTGAAATACTGGTTAAAAGCACATCAAAGATATTTGAAAATGAATGACATTATTTGACATTATTTTCTGAATAGTTCATTCTGGAATCAAATTCATAATTCCCATTGATTCGTAATTGATACGAATAAATCCCCTAAAATTAATTTCGTCGTTATTTTGTGTTCCTAGTGCTTGTAGCTGCTAATGGTGCCCTCCAAATTGCACGTTGGTGTAACTGTAGCCGCCTTTACCACTTACTCCGTAACTGCCTCCTTGACCGCCTCCAAAACCGCACCCCCGGTGCTACCTCCATGTCTTCCTGCAAAACTATAGATCCCCCGTGGCTGCCTCCAAAACCTCCTCCGATACCACCGAAGTAGCCTTCAAAACCAGCTCCTCCAATTTCTACTCCACCTCCAATTCCGGCTCCGGTCCCAGTTCCTCCACCGCCAACGTTTATAGGTTGTGGTACTGGTACTATAACGGTTTGGGGTACTCTAACTGCATAGGGTTGTGGAATCGTCACAGGGTAAAGTTGTGGAACAAGTACCTGAAATTGAAAAAGGAAATTTATCACATTATTACCTTCAAACCAATATAATGATGAAAAAATTGAAGGCTAGGCCACAAAAACAGTTTTACAGCGATAAAACACTTCTTCCGAATACTGACAGCTATGAAATTAACATTTAGGAGTAACTATTATTGAATCATACTCGACTCTCGGGGCCTAGTTATGCATCATTCTCACAATGGCAATCATTGTCACTGTCTTAATCAAATTGAACCAATGAAATCATATATTAACACGTGATTGTGGCTAATGCTTGAATGCTTGCACAGAAATATACAGGTTTAATTTGGTATATAGTAACTAGACCCTAACTCTATTATGACAACTGAAATGAATGTGTAAATCAAATAAAACTCGCCAATACAAAGAACAGAACCAGGAGACCGAAATTAAATCTCAAGATCATTTTTATTTCGAATGGAAATGTTATACTGAATTTTAATGAAACCGAAAAGAATACGCGATGTATTAATGATACATACAGGTAGGTGTTGTCACTCATATATTAGTTATACTTTCAAGCAAATATTTTTGTTGAAGTTTCTTGTTATTCATTTAATGAAAACTAGTTAATTCTGAGAATTCATATTTTTTTATCATAACGATGCTTTCATCCGAGAATTTTTAGAAATTCATCTTTACGAATACCACTCGAACTTGAAACTTTGTCAGATGTATGTCCATTTTTGATCAATATCAATCGAGCAACCAGTAATAGTGAAACGATTGGTTTTATTATGCTGTTTGTTCTCATGATATTGCTGAACAATGAAGTTTTCGTTAAAAAAATTGAAATTAATTGATGATATTTCGAGGTATTGTGATATTACTATTGATGCATTTCTGAAAAAGAAGCTGTTTGGCTTTCTACTCCTCCATTATTATACAAAAAATATGGGACATTTTCAAAGAAGTACCTTTCCCAGGCATCTGAAAGTTGGATTAACGATTAAAGGAAGTATTTGTAATGGACTATTTTGCACTGTGTCTAACAATGTGTAAATTTTACTTCTATCAGGTTTTTTATTGAACTGATAAAATACAGATAGTCAAGGCTTTAGTCATGGCGGGATTAGATTTTGCGATGGAAGCAACAAGAAAATTTGTATTCTTCATTCATTTCTGAGATTATGGAAGGTTATGAACCCAAAAAACAGTAATAAATAAGAAAATTGGTGTTTGGTGAAGAGCCGGCTCACGGAGATTCACGTTTGATGCAAGAAATTAATTGAGTCAGCTTTGGTTGCAGTTCAATTAAGGCATTTCCGAAGTGTCCAAATTTTTTTTGTAATTGTCGTCGTTTTTGAAATATACAAAATTTTGTGATGAAAAACCAACTATAATTTCAAAATGAGTGAACGAAAGAACTAAAAAGTGAGTTCGAGAAGAAAGCACTGCCTAGTGGATACTTATTCCTCAAATAATGCCAACTTATGGATCTTGTTATCGATTTTATCTAAATTCAATGCCTAGCATTTCTTCAGGTTAGATTATCTCATTTTGTCATCCGCATATTTTTATATGTAAAGTTATTACCTATACGGGCACTTGAACTGGTACTTGCACTGGCTGTGGTACAGGATACGGGACAGGTCTTGTAACAGGAACTGGAACATGCCTGGGTACTTCTACTGGATGAGTTTGTGATTCTGGTACCTGCACCGGTCTGTTAACGACAACAGGATACGGTTGTGGCACTCGCACTGGTACTGGTCGATTAACTGTTACAGGTCGATTAACTGTTACAGGATAGGGCTGGGGTACAGGTACCGGAATCTGTTGAGTTATGGTTTGTATCTGGGTTCCACATCCCCTCAAGGCTCCACCTCCTCCCAAGGCACCACCTCCTCCCGAGGTACCACCTCCTCCCAATGTTCCACCCGCTCCCAATTCTCCAGCTCCTCCCAAAATACTACACCCTCCTAATGCACTTCCTTCATAACCACCTCCGAGTCCTCCATGGCCACCACCGATTCCTTCATGACCTCCACCGATCCCTCCATGGCCTCCATCAAATCCTCCGTGACCCAACCAACTTCTTATATTCCCAGCAAGAACAACGGATGATAGAGAAATAACGTGGAGGATAACCTGTGGAAGAGTAATGAGAACATAATGAAAAAACGGAAAGTTATTAACCTAAAGAATACTCAAACTAGTGCATTTTCGAATACTGTACTTGCGTAGGTACATATTCCTGAACGAATGTATTACACAATTCAAGTTGAAAACCTCTTTGTTTTCATATTTTTGCATGTTTCAGAGATAGCTGTTCAAAATTTTTTTTTCAGAAATTTTCTTCATCCTGTAAAATATGATTCAGACGTTTAAATGTTTATTTGTTATAAATTGTTTGCCCTCATCACAAAGTTGGTTACCAGGAATTCAAATTGTAACGATAGAGATAAAAAATCAAATGATATTCAAGTAAACTGAATATGAAAAAATGTTTGGTGCTCTCAAATAATGTTACACCCAAGCAAACCACAATTTAAAATATGACGGTTACGCCATCCCTATTTTAATCGTCGACTATTCACCTATATATTCCTATAGGGGGGGTAACCGATATTCAAATGGATGGATCTATCTATTTACATCTGCTAATTAAATTGTGAGCGGCTGAAATGTTTAGTAAACATGCATTTCATACGATACTATCGGGTATCTGCCACACTTCGTAGGTTCACACGAGAGGCAAGGGCATGGTGTTCTCACCTGAACACCGAAACACGTGTCTATGGTAAGCCTTTTTTGAGTGCTAAATCCGATAAAACTATCTCCTAGATTTATATCAAGACACTCGACTTCATGTCTATTTAATTTCCTGGGACCGGATGTCAAGCAGGTAACTATTAGCTGGTTAGTATTCTTGAAAACACAAGATCTATTAAGATCTATTAAGGGGAACCACGAACGTGCGGCTGGCTTCTGCTGATGGCTCTATGCATTTGAACTTTTTTTGGCAACCAAGTGTTTCCATCCTTGCACTTGGCTGCACCATACTGATTATGGGCCAAAAGCCCAAAATACGCAAATACGTCTCTATGGTTTGCCTTTGTTTGAGCGCTTTGTCTGATGAAATTATCTCTTGGAGAGTTACTATCTTCACTCGGGTTTGAAGGCCGTCGTAATTTGGAACTGCATCCTAATGTTTCGCGAGCACGAGTGGCTTGGCTTCTTCAGAGGTTTATTCATCTTGTTGATCCACCAATGATTCAGTCATCGGTAAAAGTACGACGACCTTCAAACCCAAATGAAGGTAGTAACACTGAAAATCTCGGCCACGGAAGCCTTAACCAATTCATCATCTGTTAGAAAATTATCTCTTGGAGATATACAGAAATATATTTTATAATAATCAATCTTCACCAGAGATGTGAAGTGCTGAAGGCAATTTTTTTTTGCCGCCTCGTCCGATGCATTTTCACATAGATTCATGCTTGGTTGGTCAGATGGTCTTTACCAAATACTACCTTACACGATAAACACTACCTTGTGATACCAAATCTCTCGATTTGGTATCACAAGGATAACATTTACAAAATAGAATAATGCATCTCCTGAAACGTAACTGCAAAGTAACGAAATCTTTATTCGCTTAAGATATAAGCTGTCACAAACTGCTTAAACTGGGTAGATTGATTGTAAACAATTTTTTATTGATCCCTCACCAACACTTCTTTATCCTCGTGTCACTACATAATAATGGTATCCCCAAGTAAGTTGTAAGTATCTTTTGTATTTTTCTTCCTTTCAAACTTCAAAGGGATCAATTGACGTGAAACAATTTGACTGGTTTTACTTATCACGTACATACTAATCGAAGATTAATTATTTCATGATTGAATTGATTTGCTGTGAAATAATTGAGATGTTAATTCAAGGAAAAGATTAACGAATAATCTGTTTTGGATTTGTTGAGATACCTTAATTAGGAGCGATATAACTCTAGAATTGAGTTCATCTTGTTATGCTCAATACATAATAGAGCATATCAGTCAATCAATAGGGAAAAGATAGCATGAAGTGTTTCATAAACTTCGTTAACGATATTTGATTAAAAAAAGTCCCAGAACCAGAGACACCCAAATAATAAAAGTAAATCCCTTATATCCGAATGAAATAATTCAAAAGAAGGTAAAATGGAACATCTGGCGTAGAATTCTAATTACTAGAAATGCAGTACTCTTCTCGACGTGCATTTCACCAACCAAGTTGGTGTCTTCTTTTCCTGCTAATTGGGAAAATTGCTTGTTTTTAAAAAAATCAATTATGTAAACATAACACATTACACTTGTATAATGGAAATTGATTATGAAAATATATTTTTGAAATTTGCAGATAAATGTAAGGAATTTGTTTTCAAATTTTGTCACTTCGGAGTCATGAACATTTTCTGAATATCACTCTTGTGAAAATGTGTGGAAAGTCGCTTCTCTCCTCCTCTGAAAAATTGACCCAAAGGCTCTTGCATTCGTATTAGGAAGCCCTACCAATTGAAGCATTTGCTAGCTGCTTTGTCATCGTCATTAAATTCATAGCAGACTCAATGTCTCTGGAAATTATGTGAAACCAATACACTTTCTGAATTGTGATAATCGAATGTCTGTCGTGAATGTTTACTTATTGCAGGTTGATATGTTTTCATTCTTATTGAAGTTTGCATAGAAAATTGAAATAGAATGGCATGTTTCCATTCAGTGAGATTTCGATTCGTAAATTCTAATTGAAGGCACATTTCAATTTTCAAGTGTCACTCACTTACCAAAATGATTACCCAATTAAGGTAAAACACCAAATTTTTGACACTGCACCAAAGATTGACACTTCCTTCGAAAATCCCATGGAATAAGGTAAATAATATGACTGTCCCACTTTTTTAAAAAGGGAATTTCTTGTGGTCCCATCTAGGATTGTGTATCGGAGGTGTAGTAGAAAAGAACTGATTTTGTTAATATGGTCGCCATTTGAGTTCCATGTGTAAAACTCTTGTGAAATTTATTGTGTTTTTAAAGACATCAGTTAAGGAGTGTGGTGCAATTATTCCGAAATATTTAAGAAACTTCAAAAGATAATGTGGAAAATAAGGAAAATAATTCAGAAAATGGCGCACATACTGATTAATTGATCCATATCTCATCGACATCACATGAAACTCCACTCAAAGTAATTAGAGATATTATTATTAAACCTGCTTATAATTCTTCCCCTCTTAAGATCAATAATCAGACCATTCCTTTCCCATTCAAAAGAGTATTAATGTGGCCAGATCCAATAAAACCAAAGAAAAAGAGAGCAACCAGAGACATCAGTTGTGACATCAAAACAATGGCAAGAATATTACCAAAAGAAAGAAGATAAAAAGAAAGATGAAGAAATAAAAAAACAGAGAGCTGAAGAAAGACAAAAAAGAAAAGAACTTCAACATAGATTAAAATGGAAAAAAAAGAATAAACCAAAGAAAATTAAAAACAGGAAGAAAGAGAGTTCATCATCTGATACTGAAGCATCAGAGGAATGGGAAAAATCCGGTAACACTGATGACGACATAACTTTATTCAACTTGTCCAATCTCGACAAAGAAAATGCAGCATTTCCAGTGATGCCGCTCATTGAACAGGAATCTAAAAATAATTTGAGATATAATTACAAAGAAAATGATTACATATTAGTTGAATTTCCTGGTATGAAGCGAAGGCACATTTATGTTTGTGTTATTCAAGAGATTTTATCTGAAAATGAGGCTGAAGTTATAGGGATGAAAAAATATGAGGATGAGAAAACTTTCAAACTTAATGACACAGATGTTTTAGGTAAATAGTCACTAGAAGTTTCGGACGTTATATAAAATGACTTGCAAATGTGCTCGTTTTCAATCCTTCGCAATGAACGTAAAATGAAAAGAGAAATGAAAATATCTATGTTTTTACCACTTTTATTTGTAACTAACGTTACTGCAGTTTCGTCCTATACGGACATTTTCAAACTTATACAATAAACTAACAATTATTCATTTTATTCGCCATTATATACCACCCCTGTAAGTACTGATAGAAGTAGAGGTACCTGACTAGATTGAGTACCTGAATTTACAGTTCACAACGCGGATGTGCCAATTTAAAAACCGGAGAGTAAATTAAATCGATTCATGATCATTCAACAGGTTGCACCCGCAATGTGTATGCTTGTGAATTTCCAAAAATTCTAAATAATTGAGTTTGCAACCCTTCCTTGCATAGCGCAGAATTTCCGTATCGTTTAGATTCGGAAACTTGTGGTTGCATGTCAAGAAATGGTTTGAAAATGTCGAATCATTTTTCTCTAGTCTGAAGGACCTTTCATGTTCAGCATACCGTTTTTGGAAATTTCGGCCACATTGTCCCACATAAACACTATTACACTCCGGACACTTGAGCTTATAAACTCCAGATTTTTCCAACTTATCGACCTTATCTTTGGCATTGAAAAGGAAATGAGATAACCTGGCATGTGGTCTGAATGCTACTTCCACATTGTTTTTTCTGAAGAAACTTGCGATTATTTCTGTTTTTTTTCCAAAATATGTTAGCGTTACCCATTTCTTGATTTCTGGTTGTTTGACCTGAGGGTATATTAATCTGTAAGTGAATTTCCGGCTTTGTTTCCTAACTAATTTCTGGATAGTATATCTGCGTTGAAACCATTATTTTGACTTATCTGTGTAATTATATCAATTTCCCTCGCTAGATTGTCTGCAGACAAAGGCAGTGTGCACTGTGCAACATTGAATTGTAGGCTGCTAATTTATGACTGTCTGGCTGGAAAGAATCGCTTGGGATGGTGATGTCTGTATAGCTAGGTTTTCTGATAACATTGAACTCAAATTCAATGTTGCAGGGTTGCAAACTCAATTATTTAGAATCCTTGGAAATTCAGAAGCATAAACATTGTGGGTGCAACCTGTTGAATGATCAAATCGTATTGGAAAAAAGTATTGGACTATCACTTTGAGGAAGGTGGACAAATCGCAAACAAGTGTTTGTGTCTAATTATTAGCTTTCGTCAATTAGGTACAGCCAACTGTGAAGGATGGGCAACACTTCCTTGCG